AGATGTTTTTGCAGTTTCCACATTCCTATACAAAAAGCTTATCTCATGTTCTCAACAAACCTATTTCTGTGCAAGCATCTTCTGATCTTATATCCACCAAAATGGATAATTATCATGCACTAAATAAATTGATAGGAAAAACATGCTGCATGCATGAATTGTTAATCAAAAGAGATTTACTCATTTCATAGTCATAACAGTGGAACCACTGATGCACAACCGATAGCAAATTTTGGAATTTAGCTTGCATAAGATAATGGATATTGGATAGTGAATCAAATTCCAATTATAAGAGCTATAGTATCACGATAGCATGATACCCTCACACTTCTCAAATGTCCTTAGATACTCCTGATAAGTACTATGATTTTCATTCACTTGCATTGAATCTGTAGTTCTAAGGTAGATAACTTATATGCAAACTGAATAGTAATTGAAATATATGCCACTTTTTTCTCAACTGAGTTACCAAAAAACTATTAATTATTATCTTCTGAATTTAGTGAAGCCTGATTATATGCTATCTTGGTGCTACTTCCATGAGGGATATTACTTTGTTTGTTGAATAGTGCATAACAAAAACTGTTGAAGTAACTTAATCCTTGAATTATTTCTTTTAAAAACTTATTATTGATACATATTTAAAAACACTTGAAGAATGTTCCCGTGTTTCCTTCTTTCCGTTTTACACTAAATCTTGAATTTTCTATATGGTATATAGATTGTGTCGCATGTGTGTGTGTGGGAACTAAACAAAATGAATCACCAGTCTATTTTTCTAAACTTTTTTCGGAAAAAAAGTTTAAAAAACACTTGCCTTAAACCTTGGAGCTCTAGCATCATGCAACATATGTTACGCCCATTAATCGTCTTCTCCAATACTCGCTGAAAGCTTGCCCAAACACCTATGCATTAACCTTTTCATAATTCAGTATACAAAGTTATAAACTGACCAAGATCAATTGTAATAGAAACACATTTGAAAAAACTACGAAATAAGATGTAATAAATTAGGTTTGGATCACACTTTTTATTTTTTGAATTAATTGAAGAAAGAATCTCGATATTAATCAACCCACGAATATATGACAGAAAGAAATTTCC